TTTTTTTTTTTTTTTTTTTCACCTACCTCATGTACATGAAGTATCCTCATATGCATTCAAGCATCCTTGCACTATTATCTCCATTTCATTGTCATTGTTGATGTGTTTTATGTTCATATATATACTTTTGTATATATATATTTGTACGTAGTAGTATACTTGTTTTTTGTTTATTTGTCTATTTCTGTGTATGTTCGTTGAGAGCAACGGAAAAAATTGAGTCAAATTCCTTGTATGTGTACGCATACATGGCCAATAAAGCTGATGCTGATGATAGTATAACATGCATTTTTCTGCTTCCACTGATACTTTGATAAGTACATTTTTCCAAAAAATACCTACGTTCTTTTAATAATTTCAATGGAGGACTTTTACTTTTACTCAAGCAAAGAATCTGAATATTTCCTCCATCACTGGCAACAAAGTAAATCAATGTGGTCACATGCTGAGGCATTTACAGTGATGACGGCTCCGTGTCGTTGTTGTTGATCCAGGTACAGGGCACCAACGACAGCAGTGTGGTGAGCAAGGTGTCCGCTGCAGCACGGGGCTACTTCCAGGATGTCTTCCTCCAGCACTTTGTGTGCAAAGTGGCCAGGAGAGCCCCGCTCATCAACAGGTCAGCAGGGATCAAATCACTGTATTGAACTCACAAAAACACACTCACTGTAGTTCGTCTTGATCGACAGTGGTGGTGTAATAAATGGACATCATTTATGCACTGACAAAGAACCGCCACATACAGGAGTCATACTGTAATAACTTAAGTGTATTTGTATGTTTTAGGGGGTACTATGTGCGCTGGAGAGCTGTGGACCACTGTGTGAGAAGGTTCCTACACGTTACTAAAAACTGCCCCAGGAGACAGGTAAAAAAGCAGCATATTGTTCAACACTATATTTAATAAAAAGTACGAAAGGGTTGCGTGTTTGATATCATTCATGATACCATTTGTCTTATTTTCCTCACTCCCTCTTTCATTATCTTCCCCTTTTTGTTAGATTCTGTCTTTGGGCGCAGGGTTCGACTCTGCGTATTTTCGCCTGCACGCAGATGAAGCACTCGATGGAGCTGTTGTGTTTGAGGTAGATTTTCCCGATGTCACCCGACGCAAGGCTGCTCTGATTAATTCTAATATTACACTGAGGGGGATGTTAGAACCCCATTTACCTCCTGCTACAGGTTGGTCATTTCCCTCACGCATATTACTGAGATTCAAAGATATTTTCTTTGTCATATAAGTTGCGTTACATTTCATGTCTGCCTGTGTGTCTTCAGGACCCGTATACGTGTCCAGTGGTCAGTACCGTCTGCTAGGGGTGGATGTTAGAGAGGAGTCCCAGGTGGAGGGGGCTCTGGGTGCAGCTGGTCTGGACTGGGCTGCCCCCACTCTAATTCTCTCTGAAGTGGTGCTCACCTACATGGAAACACAACGGTAAGGACTGCAATTTGGTCTTTTTAGGGGATCACATCACCCCTTTGGTGTATGCATAATATAAAATCATGTACTTGAGTTGTATTATTACAATAACTAGCAAAATAAACATGTGTTAGCTGTAATTGTACAGCTCTAATGCGAATGTTTGTTTTACATTGTGTGTCTTCAGGTCAGATGCTGTCATCAGTTGGGCGGCAAAGCTCCTGCCTCAGTCGCTGTTCGTTATGTATGAGCAGATACATCCGCAGGATCCCTTTGGTCGCATCATGCAAGATCATTTCCTGAAACTAAATTCAACTCTTCACGCGCTTCGACAATACCCAGACGCTGCGGCGCAGAGGCGTCGGTTCCTGGACAAGGCCAGTATGCAGACAGCATGTACACGTTTTGTCATATTTGCTGATTGCTCCTGTTTTTCTGTGTAGTACGAATGTTTAATCAGACAGTGTCGTGGTGTTTTTGTCTTCAGGGCTGGGAGCAGTGCGTGTGTCTGGATGTTAACGACTTCTACCTCGGGCTGGTCCCCGAGGAGGAGAGGTGCAGAGTGGAGAGCCTGGAGCCGTTTGATGAATATGAGGTTAGCCGTTCAAATGCATCTTCTTAATTTGTCTCCGTCGTATAAAATCATACTTCCTAGTCACGATATCTGACAGGATGACTGTATATCTGTCTGCCCTCAGGAGTGGCACCAGAAATGTTCACACTACTTCATCCTTACTGCGTCCCAGGGCTCTTTGATGGCACAGGCTTTACTCACGCATGCTCCAGGTAGCTATCACTTCATTTCCCTCTGTTCCAAAACCACTGCCCCCACTTGCATCAAATATATCCTTTGCGTCAGTTCCTCCAGCGGCATCTATTTGCCCATCTTGGAGCCCCACAGCCCTCAGTGTGCAGACCATACCAGTTCCTATGGAGGGGCTGGGGATGGCTTCCACCTCGGTGCGCCTGGGGCAAGTCCTGCTAACGGGAGGCTCCAGCAGAGGAGGCAGGGGGCCAGTGACTAGGATCCTCCTCCGGGGCCAGGAAGGCTGGAGGTCTGTCAGCGTGGAACCACCAGTAGATTTGGGTGAGGACATGCAAAATAAATTACAGGTTTGGTTAATCCATAAAAAGTTAGTTTTAGCTTAAACTTAAATATTCATGCATCTGTACAAAATCATTACCATTACTTTTTTCTTTCTCGCTTTATTATCAAAATTGTGCAAGTAAAATGAGACTAATTTAGCTGTGTTGGCTTCTCCCAGGTGTTCGACTCTACCACACCGCTACCTCTCTTCCTGGAGGAGGACTCGCGGTATACGGTGGCCGCTCCTCCCCACTTAACCCAACCAGAGGCCTTCTAAGAGTAACCCTGGACACCCGTGGTCCACTCGGTCCTCTCGACTCAGAGGACGGAGACATGGGGACGCTTTGTGTGGAGCAGATGGTCTGTACAGGTGATGCACCAGCGCCAAGATGGAGGCACACGGCTACTAGTGTCAGTCACAAAGGTGAGATGAAACAGGAAGTCTCTTTCATGTTCATATTTATTTCATCTCTTATATATTATAACAAAGCTCTCATTTTTTTCTCTGCAGGCAAAAGCTTTCTGTTTGTGTTTGGTGGAAAGAATGAATCGGAGGCAGCTCTGGGTGACGGCTACTTCCTGTGTCTAGACCAGCAGCACTGGACTGAGGTTTGTGTTATCTTTTTAAATAGTTTTTTAATATCACACACAAATTATCTTGTCTCTCACCACTTTAAATTACATTAAAAAGGTTTGTTTTTAAGTGGCACGTACGAGTGATTTAAGACAATTTGTGGCATTCACCACATGTGTGTGTGTGTGTATTATTTACAGATCCCTTTAGAGGGCGCAGCACCAGAGGCCCGTCATTCCCACTCAGCATGTTCGTATCAGGGAGGTGTGGTGGTGTTTGGAGGGTTAGACAGAAGGGGAGTTCCTCTGGGGGACACAGCGGTGTTAAGGCTAACTGACAGAGGCTTCTCCTGGGAGAGAATAGAGCTGCAGCCCCCTCCTGTTCCCAGGTCTGTAGCTTTCAAAAAGCCAACGACTTTCACTTCATTCGGGTTGCAAAAAGACCATGGCCTGAAGTTTGTACTTTGTTTTTAGGTACTCTCACTCTGCCCATGTAATTGGTGAAAAGCTGGTTGTGGTTGGTGGAGTCTGGCTGCATTCAGACGGTGTACCAGGTGTCGTCATGATCCACCTCACCACGCGCAGCAGTGTGGAGTTCAGTCTGGACACGGTCAGTTAACATGCATTCGATCAGATTTCACAGCTATAGTTTTAAGCGAAAGTCAGTGTTTTTTTACTGTATTGATACATCTACCTCTGGTTGTGAAGGCCTGAGTTTGTTGCCTGAAAAGTGGCATCAGTTGCTACATAGAAAGGTATATCTTAGCAATGCATTTTCATTGATCATATAGCCTCAGGATAGACCTAATGAACAAGATACTAACAGATAAATCTCTGCCTCTAGACCTCGGTGCCCTGGCCGCTGATGCTCCACTCGTTCTGCTCTGAGCTGACGGACTCAGAAGAACCAGAGCTGCTCCTGATGGGTGGGGGAGGAAACTGTTTCTCTTTTGGGACTCACTTCAACCTTCAGCCCGTCACTGTGGACCTCAGACCTGCACTGGGATGACGTACCTCAAAGTGTTTCTATGAAACTGTGAAAGCTGCTGGACCATGCTACTGGAGGGCCAGGCCGTATTGCTGGGCCCGCTGGAGGGAAGCGAGGCCCGGGAGAACCAGGACTGCAAAGGGCAGACTATTAAACTCTGCTGCAGTAGAAGTAGAGTTTCTGAGCACACTCTGGCGCTCAGAAACACTACCACTTGTGTCCACAGGGGCCGCCAAAATCAACACAAAATGAAAGTTCCTGAAGGAAAGTAGCTCTAAACCGAGAAGGTTCAAAAGACATTAAACAACTCATGTATAGAAAAGCCAAAGAAATGTCTTCAGTCTGCTTACTGGACAGTTTTTTTTTATTTGTGAGACCTCAGTTTCAAATCACAAAATAGTCAATTAAAATCAAAGTAAAATATCAACTTTTTAGGTTATTTTCTTTCAACGTTTTGGATGGAGGTTAAATCATTCAGTGAAGCGCCTGAAGGACTGGACCGTAGGACTGACGGCACCCCAGTCGCCAGGCTTGCGGTACTCCCCCTTCTCCAGGAAGTACTGGCGTCCGCGGTAGTTGGGGTGCTCGTAGAAGACCCACCAGCCGTCGAAGATCTTACAGGAGTTGACCTCCCTCCAGCGGAACTTCTCCAGGAGAGAGGGGCAGTCCTCTATGGCCTCGAAGGCCTGGCCCCCGAAGTCTGCCTTCTCATACAGCTGCATTTTGTACAGGGTCCCGCTGGTCTGGAGGGTGACGGGAGGAAGCAGGGGGGGAGGATGGTAGGGGGGGGGGTGTAAGTGGGAGATAGACGGAGAGTGGTCGTTAGTGCAGGGGGTTGGGACAGAAGAGGGGATGGGGATGTATAGAGAGATGGGATTTGCTTCTGTAAATGGGCTCATCGTGGTTATAGTGTGGACCACGTCTATTAGATAACCGGCTTCCCATCACCACCTGTCATTGTTTTTGTTGTGCAAAACTGTACACATGCAGCCTGTACAAACTAGATTGATTTATGTATGAACGTGGCGTCCCTGGATCTGGCTGCAGGCTGTGGGTCAGTTGAACTAAGGCCCGATCACACTAATAGACTGACCCCCACGTATTGGTCTCCATCAACAAAGCCCTGCGGTCATCAACACAACAGCATGACCTCTGTGATCACTTTGTTTCTCTTCTGTGCCCACTGTGGCTTTCATCAGCTCACCAAACAACCTCAGGTTCATAAACCCACAAAGAAGAGGTTAGTGGTTCGTTCAACATTCAACAAAAAGTGTTCACACAGTTCAGATCACAGACGATGGCCGACTTACGAAGTGGACCATCTTGCAGGAGCTGAGGCGGTCGTTGAGGCCCATCCAGCGCTGGTAGTCTGGGTACTCCCCCCGGCTCAGGACGTACTGGTAGCCCATGTAGTTGGGCCGTTCGTACACCACCCAGGCCCCACTCTCCACCCGGATGGAGTTGCAGCGGCTCAGGTAGGCGTGGAAGTCCGAGCAGTCGCTGTCGCACTCATAGCGGCGTCCCTGGAAGTTCTTGTCCTCGTAGAAGACAATCTGAGAGGGGAAGGACAACACATGGGAGTCTTATCTCTCGTCCACTTTTCACATAGTCTTTGTTCGGACATAGAAAGGTCAGATTTTACTGTTTTATCACTCAAACTTTACAATAAAGCCTTGAAAAGCATTCTTTTGGTAATGTTCTCCAATGGAGAGTGCAGCTTTAACCTCCAGCTGAAAATCAATCAACACCTCGACTGCAAAAAAGGGTTCAAACCCCAATATCCCCGCAGAGAGGGTCTCACTTACAGCTCTGTCCACTACTTTAAACCCACACATTCACTCTTAACCTCCATGCTGCAGTGTTACCGGACTCTTTGTCGATGCCAGTCCCACTTTGCCTTAACTCACCCTGCCCATCTTGGAGCGAATATGAGGGATGGCCCTGGTTATGTTAAGGGATGGTGGTGGTGGTGGTGGTTCCCCTGAGGTCTCGATTGTTGCACCGGCCCCTCACCGGTCCCTTTTATATCCCCGCGTTCCCACGTTTATAAACTGCAACGGTGGAGGCAAAAGGGGAACAATCGCTTTGTCATGAAAATGAGATCCAAAAAATGAGTCAGTGATTCTAGTGCTATTCAGTTTTTCCAGAAAAGCGAGGAAGGATTACGGCATAATGGCCGGGCATGGTAAGCGTCCATTGACCCCACTTCTCTACTGGCTGGGTCCAGTGCCCCCCCCCGCTCCGGCTCTCGCACCATGTCACATATGCCAGCTCCAGCAGCTTGCCCCCAACTGGTGAGGACCTGCCAACTCCTGACGTATTGCTGCCTAATGGAGGAATCCAGCAGTGTCCAGTATATTGTATATTGAATTATTACTACAAATACATCCATTTTCATGCAGAATCTTGCTTTACTTAATTTTTTTATAACTATGCATTATAGTTTATAAACTTAATATGCATTTTGTATGTAAAGTTTTTAACAACAAAGGAAGTTTTAACAATGCTGGTCGAGTAACAAGTGGTGCAAAGCGGCAAAAAACAGGAATACTCAAGTAAAATACAAGTAACTAAGGTTTTAAGCAGTGATGGAAGTAGTACAAAGTTATTTTACTTAAAGTATTGGTGTATAAATACTCTACAAGTAAAAGTTAAAAAATAATACACTTAAAAGTAAATGTGTTGATTATGCAGAATGTTCCATTTAATAATATATACTATATTAATGTACTGATTATTATTCATGCATTAATGTTGCAGTTGGTAAAGGTGGAGCTCATATTATTTACTTTATAAACTGCTGAGTAGCTTGAATAATATAAGTGTATTTATTAATGTTTTGTGTTAATAATCTGAATCTGTAAAGTAACTAAAACTGTCAGATTAATGGAGTAAAAAGTACAATATGTACCTCAGATGTAGTGAAGTATAAAGCATATAATCAAAATGCTCAACTAAAGTACAAGTACCTCAAAATTGTACTTAAGTACAGTACTTGAGTAAATGTACTTAGTTACATTCCACCACTGGAAGTGTTGCATAAGCACAGATACAACAAATAGTACTTCTGTAAGATTGGAATTCATTTCAATGTATTTATTTATGAACAGAAGAATTCTCATACCAAATATTTTGAGCATATTGCTTTGTCCAAATGTAACGACAGAATCAAAAACAATAAGCCGCCTGGTTTTAGTCAAAACTTTAATTAATTTTTTTAAACAATCACCACCTATATTGTGCTCTTCATATAGTGTTCCAGCAGTAAGGCATTTTACAGTGTTATCACGTCTTTAGAAGGAAGACACACATACCAGCATTTCTGAAAACTTACAGTAATATTCTGTTGTGTATTAGCATTTTAACAGTTATCTTTAAGTCAATCTTCCCTTAAATAATTGAAATGCCCCGAATACACATGCAGCAGTTCTATTGTATGCAATGTGTCTCAGTGTGCAGAAGCTCAGCAGGCTGTAATGAGTGCAAACAGGAAGCTTATGGGCCTAAGTACACTTGGAGGTATTAACTCCTAAAAAAGGTTCTGGAGGCAAAGTAGATTTATGAAAAATATTCTTACTATAATGATAAAGTATACATACACGGGACTTAATACAAAAATAAACATACATTTAGACAGCAACAGTTCTGCAGACGGACCAAAGGTTTGTTCAATTTAGCCTCATTTGGCAAATCTGCATCTGACAAGTCCGCAATAAATGTCAAGTGTTGTTGACTTACGCTCTACCTTCATACAATATGACAGTTTGGACAGTGCAATCATGTACCTGCAATAAATTATGTTAATATTCCTTCCTTTTTTCCCCCCATAATGGAAAACACTTGATTGCCATTTATTATATTCTCTCAACACACCAGAAACACTATGACCTGAGCTAGTAACTAGGAGCATCAATAAGTCCTTAATACCCAAAGAGCTACATTCATTTAGCATCCATCTTCTCCATCTTTAAATGCACGTGCCAACCCTTTTTTTTTTTTTTTTTAAACAGAAAATAGCGCATAGTTAATATATGTGCGCACAGTTCGGGAAGAAATGGTGAGAAACCCTCCGAAGAGTTCACAGCAGTCGTGGTTCTCCAGGAACGCGACCACAATAAGCCACAGCGTCGGACTAAAGAAGGATATCGAATCATTATTACATTTAAGTGCTATTGATGCTTCAAGAGAACACATGCATGACTGACAGGTGTCTAGCCTGTCACAGCCAGTCAGTGCTTTTGTCCTCCTCAACTCAGATTTAGAATTTGTCTCCAAAAGATGAAGTTCAGCTGTAAACCCTAATCTCTAACACTGTCCCTTCAAAGCCTGAGGTGACTATGCAGATGCTACACCCTGTGTGTCTGTAGCGATGTTGTTTTACAACATGCCAATCCACTCCTTACTTGGCTTAGACATGTTTTTCTTTAGATGGACTTGTATAGAACAGCCCACACCAGCCTTCCACTCAACGAGTGGGCCGTAAGCTGCAATAAAAGCTGGATCAACAGCTCCAGACTTACCAGAGTAAGGTGTAACATACCGTACAGTAACACTCGCAGTAAACATACTCCTCTGCTTGTTAAGAACCACATGTAGCTCATGCTACCTTAAGACCCGGACGAGGCGAAACCAACAGTTCAACAGGCCATAGGCGACGGTCTCTCTGCCCGTCCATTCCTCATGTGTTTGGTATCGTTAACTCGGGGCGTCTCTGTTTCAGGCCCACTGGAGTCCTTCAAAGAGGCCATCGTGGGTGGGATGAGGCTGTCGAGTTCCTGCCTGTGCCCCGTCTCCAGAAGCCACTCGTGGAACTTGACCTCCACCAACTCCTGGAACTGCCGCTTCTGCTCCCTTGAAAACACAAACGAGGAATCGGTTACAACAGACGTGAACTACGGAGCAGGAGAGAGTTTAGGATGTGGGAGAGATTAGCGTTAAAATACTGTGATGTAGAAACCAATCATTTCTTTCCCCTCATGGAATGGCATCCTGTGATGTTGTTCCCTGTTGTTCAGGGTCAGGTAGAGTGTAGAGCCCCTCGAGCAAGTTTTCTCACAACATGCCATCACTGAACTGAGTGGCTAACTCACAATCTTATTGATTTTTTAAAACGGCTGGCCTGTTGTAACTTTCCACTGATTCAAATAGCGCGCCGACTATTGAAGCATATTTTTTTTTTTTACACGTGCATGTTTATTAGAAAGTCTATCAAATGATTCCACTTCTTTTAATAATGATGTGAAGACGGTCCGATTTGCGACTCACTTGTTCAGCCGGGCCGCCATCACAGTCTTCTGCCAGTTCTGAATCCTCCTCTGCTTTTCATCGAGTGCTGCCTGATACGGAGGAGGCAGTCCCCCCGGCACCTCACACGTGTCGCCCTCCGTCTGGAAAGGCACAACCAGCGTGTGGAACTCAGCCGGGGGCAGCAGGCGGTAGCAGGCGGGGTCCGGGTTGGACGACGTGTTGACGAGGCCCTCGTTCCCCAGAAGCAAGGGCTGATCCCAGGCATTGGGGACTACAGCCAGCCCCACGCTGGCCATGTGATCCTCCAGGGAGGGGTAGAACGCGTGGAAAGGCCCCAGTGTAATGTCTGTGTTTCCCGGGAGGAGCAAGGGGCGGGTGGGCGTCAAGGCGTGGATGGTGCAATGCGACGAGACTCCGACAGCAATCCTGCCGGCCACACACACCACCCGCAGGTTCTGGCAGCTGTGGATGTGGACGCTGGTCTCAACAGGACCCAGGACCACCGTGCAGTCACGGCATTTGTCCATACTGACTGATCTGGAGGTGCAACACAATCCATGACGGATGAGCCCATAAAAAGTCCACAACACAAGCTTTATCCATGGAAGCTAATCCTACCTGAGAGGTGAGAGAAGGTAAATGAAGGCCTCCGAGCATCGGTGGATTTTGATGTTGGCACCGGTCAGCTTGTCTGAGGTTTTCGCCAGCGTCTGTTTGAAGACTTGCGACATCAGCACCATCTTACTGCCAGGAGGAGCCGTGTGGGTGTTTCGGGCTATCTTGGCTCTCTTCATGGATCCCTCCACTGGAAGGCACAAACGGAGAACAAAGTCAAAGAAATGTAGACCGACAGGTAGAAAGAACACTTAACACACACCCTGACTTTTAACTCCTTCCCCTCAAAATGGCTGTACATAAAACTTCATTCCAGGAGATTTTAAGATACCTTGTTGAGCCCAGGCTAGTTTCTTGCCTGAGCACAGGCAGGCGGTCATCCCAAAGGGGTTGAGTGTGAGGCTCTGCTGGAGACACGAGAGGAACTTGTGCAGGCCGAAGGAGTGGCTGATCGGGGAGTAGCCGGCTTGTGTCTGGAGCGGACCTTTGGTCAGCAGCCTGTGGACGGGCTGAACCGCTCTGCCGTGGCCGACCGAGCCCTCCAGGAGCAGACCCAGGCTCCGCACAGCCTCCAGGGATATCTGGCAGAACACAGACGTGAATAGTAATTTGTTTGAGAGTTTTATTTCAGTCAAAATGAAAACAAAGTACATATGATTATAGTGGCTATTCTGTAAGCAAAAAAGTGTAAGTAAAGCCAAGGGGAGCTGCAGATTCGGGTGATAATTCTGTGTAGTTTCATTACTAGGAGAGACCTCTTTGTCATTTGAATCATCTTAACAAATTGCTTATAGCTGCTTTATGTTGGTTTGCTGTAAAGTAACACCGGATGTGTCCACAGACCTGGCAATCTCTGAGGGCCTGTCCAGACTGTGACAGCTGGCCAGGCTCCACCAGCAGCTCCAGAATCTCAGCTAGATGGCTTTTCACAAATGATAGGTGAGCCTGATCATCCCAGTTCTGCGGAAACAAACAGCAACAAAAGGACTATGAGTGGCACATCACGAAGTACCGAGAGAAGACTATAACATTCGCGCTTTAAACGGGATCATGTAGATGCTTCCCACTGGGCAATAGGTAGTAATCTGAATAACAGGATAGTGCAAAGCATGGAATAATGTTTCTCTTGCCCTCGACAGTAACAAGGACCTTGTTCTGAGAGCTGGTCTTGGCCTCTCGGTCTGATGGAGAGGGGGAGCAGGTGCGATGACTGGGCCACTCTTCACCGATCAGAGAGGTGCGCAGAGACACGCGGTTCACCTGCTGGATGAAGAGGAAGAGGAGGAACTGCAGTGTGTCCACAGACAGCTGGAGTGGAAAGGAGAAAGATGGTGTGCATATCAATGTGTAGCTCAGACTAGAAATGTGAGAGCAGGGTACAACAACACAATAATAAAGAGTCAAAAACAGGTCATATGAAACAATGAGATGGCAGGTAGTAAATAGGTTGGTGTTTTTTTTTTTTTACCTTGTTCCTTTGTTGATCCAGCTCGCTTTTGGAAGAGCACTGGGAAAGACACTCTGCCCACTCCAACCTCTCCTCTGGAGTGTGGCCTATAAGCAGGTCAAAGGTCTCGAAATAGAGCCACGCTAGGTCTTCTGGAAGCTGTAGTTTTCCACAGGCGATATGCCTCCACATGGGCCAGCCCAAAGCGGGGAAGCAGCCGTCCCGCGTTCGCACGTAGATCGCCATCTTGCGCAGATAGTGCAAGCTGAGCTTGGAGAAGGGAGCCACCTACAAAAAAAACATTCATTCCAGTTATTTTACATTTGCATTCACTGGGCGACATCTTTACATTAAATAGAGATGGGAAGAGTATGCTCACCTGCAGGGCACCCACTAAGAAGGGCTCCATGCGTGGCCATATGCTCACACTGTCTGCCTCCATGTCTGAAGAGAAAGGACATAAAAAAAGATGAGAAATGAAATCAGACACATGATAGACCGACATGCAAGAATATCACTTTGTCATTTTTTTGCATTACAGAAACACTAAATGTAGAGATTAACTGATGAGAGCTGAGGAGCAGCCTGTCTGTATGTTATAGAGATGACCATACAAGTGCACAACCATGACTATGAACCAGCTTTAATGGAAAATTATGGGTACAGATAAAAGAAACATACAGCTAAACACAATGACAACAAAGCTGGTATTCATGTAATAGTGGATGTAAGAGTTATAGATATTGCACGGTTAATAACAATAAAATCCGTCTGTCGTTCATTTAACATGGTGGCAGATACCTCCTGTAATGCTCTCCTGGCAACTGACTGCTCATGTCATCAACACCTGACTTTAGCATCATAACATCAAGTTTGCTAACTTAGCTACCATTAGCTAGCACGGCTAATAAGGCAAAAGGAGGACTAGGAGACGACCGTGTCTTTGCTCTTACTTTCAGCCTCTGTCTTCGTCCAGGCACCGCGAGGTTCCGTCTCGACGGGTCACTCATAAGTGAAAGTAAAGACGAGAAACGAGTCCTGTCGTTGACCCGGTTTGTTGTGATTAGAGGCAGACCTGTCTCACGTCTACCCGTTCTTCCTATTTGGCGCCCTCTCCTCTAAAGCTGACATCTGTTGCACGCAGCTCGCGGGGGCGCGCGGTAGACTTTTTTTTTTCTCCTTCTTCTTCTTTCTTCTGTTTTGAGGTTTATTGGCGGTTGGCAAACAATTAATTGGTGCATTACCGCCACCAACTGGCATGGAGTGTGGATCAGTTTGTCTAGTTCAGTGATTCTCAACTGGTGGGTCGCGAACCAAAAGTGGGTCGCAGACCGTTTTCAGCCTGGCAAAAAAAAAATCAAAAATCCTGTGCTTTTATTTTGAAGGTGATTTTTTATGCAGCGGAGTGCCATCTATTCGCACTCCTTAACAATATTTGGCATTAATGCCTTGTGATGCTAATATCAGCAGAGGATAAACTGAAAACTATATCTCTGTCAAATGACACTATAAGTAGACGAATTGAAGACATGTCGGATGACATCAAACAACAGACCACAGCTCGAATTAAGGCAAGTGGTCATTTTATATTACAAATGGACAAATCTACAGACATAACAAACAAAGCAGTTTTACTTGTTTATGTGAAACATGTGTGTATGGAAGCCCATTTCAGCCAGCAAAAAAAAAAAGGTTGGGGACTGACAGGAACAATTCCTATATAGAAGCCCATTTCCGCAAGCCAAAAAAAAAGAAGGTAACAAAAAAAAAGATTTATGAAAAAAAAGTGTTGCCGGCAGAAAAAAGGAGAAAAAAATTATTCTTTTTTTTCTGCCAGCAAAAAAAAAAAAAGTTCCAGTTGCTGTTTATTAAAGGTTATTTTATTTTATTTCTGTATTATTTTATTTTATATTTGTATTATTTTATTTTATTTTTGTATTATTTTATTTTTGTATTATTATTATTTGGTTTGTTTGTTTGGGGTGTAAAGCTTGTTCACACTCCGGAGCAGAAGGTGGCGGTAATGTACCAATAAGATGGATGCCAACCGCCGTAAAACCAGAAGAAGAAGAAGTATGTTTCTTTAATGGAGGGCGGTTTTTTTTGTGTGACTGAGACATCCAGTGGGCGGGCTCTCTCTGACAGGAGGAAGAAGGCTTGTGACGGGCAGCCGGGATCCAGACCTTCAAAAGCCGGCTGTTCTTTTTGCTGCTTCTGATTACAAAACACAAGGAATCCATGGCTACCAAAGGGATGAATCTCTGCAATGTCTGCTGTCTGCTTCTTTACGTTATCACGGCGGTGCTTGCTGGGTAAGTCTCGTGCTTGGACGTACAGTTTGAACAGCATCGCCAGGTGGTACACATGTTTCACTGTGATTGGTCCAGACCAGGTCTCACGTGTGTGGAGTGGACTAGAGCAGGTTCACACACACAGAGCTAGCGTGCTAATAAGAGTTTTCTTTGTGTTTTGTTGTTCTCTAGCTTCGTATTTATATACAGGACTTTAACGGCTGTTTTTTTGAATGGCAAACTAGCTTAGTTAGTCAGGAGCTAGCCTTCATAGCAGCTAAGCTATACCCGGCTTCCTCCTAGCTAGCTAGTTTACTGTTTATCATCACAATTCAGCCTGTAAACAACAGTGCTATGTCATTACAGCCATGTCTTGTAACGTACATTTTGCTCTCTGTGTGTCGTCCCCTGTTACCCCCCTTCTCTCTCTCGTAGACGAGATTTCTACCAGATCTTGGGGGTGACTAAGAGTGCATCAATCAGGGACATCAAGAAGGCCTACAGAAAGCTGGCTCTCCAGTTACACCCCGACAGAAACCAAGACGACCCGAAAGCTCAAGACAAATTTGCAGACTTGGGAGCAGCTTATGAGGTGATGCAAAAGTCTCTTTTGTACGCTAGCTATTTGGTTTGTTGTTGGAAAACAGCACGGCCACTGTGATTGGTCGACTAGACCGTGTGGCCGCATCTGATTGGCTGTGAAGCACAGCTGGCAGCCAGGAAAGCCAGACGTGGATAAATGGGAGGGGACTCAGATAAGGTCTGCAGGTGTTTCTTCTGACGAATGTTCACATTGCTCTTGAAATAACTAACTGTGATTAGTCAATATGATCTGATATACAAGGAGTGGACACAATATTACAGAAACACATGTATAGTATGATACAATTAAGTATTTACAGCTATATGCAACTACTTATCCACATCTATATACTGTATCTGTATATTTTGTCTATTTATTGTATATTTTGTACTTTCACCTTTATTACTATTTTTACACTGGCACTCTTTCCTACTTTGTACTGCAACTGCTGTTCCCTTCAGGATAAATATAGTTTTATCTTATTTAACCCTGTTATGCAAATAGTACTGCTTTTGTGAATATTCTTCTATGCAAATCATGTTAAGGTGTTTGAGGTAAAATTAGTTTGTTCTGTGACTGACGGGTTGTTTGTTTTTTAGGTGCTCTCAGATGAGGAGAAAAGGAAGCAGTACGACGCGTACGGAGAAGATGGACTCAAAGAGGGTCACCACAGCTCACACAACGATATCTTCTCCAGGTTGGTTTCTTGAGCTCAGATTATTTTTTTACAGTCACATTCACCATGTTTTAATAACAAAACTGTTAACATTGTGTTCCGTGGATTATCGAGAATACTGATTCTGTGTCAGTGTGACAATGTTGCTGTTGATTTATGTTACTTTTTATTGAATTTTTCAATCTTTAGACATAAATTCAACCAAAACTAGATGGAGATAAAGATACCACTTGTGATTAGGATGAATCAACCCTTTAGGGAAATGTGTTTCTGCGATATTTGCTACAAACGTGCTCCAAATAAACTGTTTTTAATTTGGAATGATGCTAAATGAAATTAAATTGTGTTTTTGTGTATACGTCTATACTTTGTCGTCCTCCTGTAGCTTCTTTGGTGACTTTGGGTTCATGTTTGGAGGCAATCGACAGCAACAGGACAGGAACATCCCCAGAGGAAATGACATCATACTAGACCTGGAGGTCATGCTTGAAGAGGTGTACTCTGGGAACTTTGTCGAGGTGAGGGGGAAATCCTGCTCACTAAATAAACAACCTTATTAATCATATTAAGTGGAATGTGTCACGACTGCGTGTTTTTAATTTGACACACATTGACATCATTTAAGTTCCGTCACACTGCAAAAATGTGCTGATTCATCGTCTGCTTTGTCGCACAGGTTGTTCGTAACAAGCCTATAGCCAAAGAAGCCCCCGGCAAGAGGAAGTGTAACTGCAGACAGGAGATGAGGACGACGCAGCTCGGACCCGGCCGCTTCCAGATGACTCAGGAGATGGTGTGCGACGAGTGTCCCAATGTGAAGTAAGTCATTGCTGGTGGTCAAACTCCTGTTCATTACAACCCAGACTTGATCATGGCAACGGATGCATCTACGGTGCTTGATTATAAGGGTCCTTCTGGTTCCCAATAGCTGATGAAAACCTCAAATGTACCCCAACTCTAAACAAAATGGTGCAGGACACAGAAGCACAAAGTCCCACTGTAGCTGGCATTGTATTATATTTGTATAGCTAGGTGTACTAAATAAATGGAAACTGAGTGTATATCAGAGGTGTGATAACATTTGGGAAAGACGTTGTACACGCCTATTATCGCAGCACTTGTTTTATTTATTATGTACTGTTCACTACAGGCTGGTAAATGAAGAGAGAACCTTGGAGGTAGAAATTGAACAAGGAGTCCGAGATGAAATGGAGTACCCTTTCATTGGAGAAGGTAAATGTACACGAAGCTTATTATATGTCCAGTGTTTTTAAATATGACCTGTTATTAACGTCTTTATTCGTGACCACAGGGGAACCTCACATTGACGGCGAACCAGGAGATCTACGCTTCCGCATCAAAGTGCTAAAGTATGAACAGGCTGTGTTTATTGAGTCTGTGATTTGCAACACAAATGCAGAATATTAGACCAGTGACAAACGGTAACGTGATGCTTTTTCTTTTTAGACATCCTGTGTTTGAGCGCAGAGGAGACGACCTGTACACAAACGTCACCATCTCCCTGGTGGAGGCACTGGTGGGCTTTGAGATGGACATCGAACATTTGGATGGACACAAGGTACTGTACATACCTGGTATCATTTTCTTATTTGCTGTCACTCTATTAGAGCCTGGCAATGTAAAGTTGGGGAACAACTAAAAAGAGGTGTATGTGAATTTGCCAGTTGACTTGAGTCGTTGCATCCGTCTTTGCCTCACAGGTCCATATAGTGAGGGATAAGATCACAAAGCCCGGTGCTCGAATGTGGAAGAAGGGAGAAGGCCTGCCAAACTTTGACAACATCAACATCCGAGGTTCCCTCATCATCTCCTTCGATGTGGAGTTTCCTCAGACGCAGCTCGACGACCAGCAGAAAGATGGTGAGGATGAAGGTTCAGGGACGTGTTGGGACATTTGTCCTGGAAGGATCAGTGTTGGGAGAAAAGTTACTTTATTTCACATCAGAATCACAGCACATTTTTGTAGCTTGTCTGATGTTTGAATATGTGTATACATTGTTTTCGATATGCTGCCGTTAACGGTGATCGTTCTGCTGTTGCAGGTATCCGGGGTCTTCTGAAGCAGGGCTCTGTGCAGAAGGTTTATAATGGACTCCAAGGATTCTAGCGCACCAACACACACAGCTTGGACTGAGTTATCTGTCTCTCTCACACACACACATCTTCAATCAACAAGACTGTGCTCCATAATTCTGGCCAGGGTGTATTTATTATTTTCAGATCGTTCTCAGGGTGGCTTGAACCCAATTTGTTTTTAATGCTCTACATTTTGACAGCAGTGGCACAATTGCAGGTGTTTTATTTGAAGTGTATAAATGTAAAGGATGCCGTATCTTTGTTTTACTTTTTTTTTTTTTTTTTTTCTTTTTTTTTTTTTTTTTTTTTGTCCCCAAATTATATTGCAATAAGGCCTTTTTCTTTTTGTTTATTTTAAAAAGCTAAACCCCTTATTTCTCTCTGAGTGAACTTAATCTACTAATGTGTCAGTCACTGTACCTTTCTGTGTACATCTGCTGAAGAAGAAAAGCCCTTAACAACTTTTGAACAACTTTCAACTTGTGCAAGACACTTTTTTTTTTTTTTATTAGTTTTACAAGTGTAACAGCTTCACCTTTTTGACTGACGAAACATATTATTTTTGTTTTGGTCAGACTCCTGTTCAATAATGCTTTGTAAATAGGGAAGTACGAAGTGCATCTGTTTGTTGTGTTTTAGTTTTTCTAATTTATGTTGGCTCTTACTTGTCTGTTTACACGTTGCAACGGGAGAACTGTCCGCAATGCACAACCCCCACGTTCACTGTGACCAGAGTTGACCTCTTAAATTAAACAGTGACATTTTTATTTTTTTGTGAGGAATGAGGTGAACGTCCTCCAGCGCCACTAGCAACATTTAGTTTGACACACCTTCGACACTCTCCCTGTCTCGGCTGAACACATTTAAATCAAAGGGACCTCACACCATAGAGAATCAGCATCACTGATGCTGTTCCTCCTGACTGGCAACCGTTTGGTTTATAACGCGGTTTTAGGATTTTACTTCCCTCTGTTTTTACTACCGACTGCAACGCTGCCTCCCGATATTATGAGAGTGTCATGGCCTTAGGGGGGGATGATGTACTTTGACTGACGATTATAAATAAAGATTTCTACAAATTCTGATAAGATGTCATACCCCGGATTCACCAGCAGATGACATCAGAGTCTAGTCATTGGCCATTAGTGAGGAACCATGACCTCCAAGCTGCAGTGAGTGCAGTGCTGGACTTTACTTTCCCTGAGCTGAGCCAGGAGTCGGGTAGCACATCCTGAAATGTCTAACTCTGACCAAAATAATTAAAAAAATCCCTCGATATGAGAGGGGTTTCATTGGTTTTGGGGAACAAATACATTTCTGATTTAAAGAACATTACCTGTATTAATATGCCAATCAACAGGCTACAGATTTGTCAAATTGTTTACAATTTGTGTAATTATTATGGTTTAGATTTAAGGATTTGTAACAATCAGTAAATGTAAGGTTTCCTGAGACACAACATTCAAAGCACCATTTTTTTTAAACTAGTGCCGGAGCAGATTTATGAGAGAAATTACTTACTTCAAGCTGAAAACCTGCATCAGTTTATGCTCATGTATATTATGTTTGTGAGGAGTAATTTCATTGTTAGACCTTGAAAGTGAACAGTTTTGTGAGGGTGGATACATTTTGCCTGGTAAGGGTTTAGGCGGGAGATAATGGTTTAACCTGCATTAACAGATTTGTTTTTGTCTGCCTGGGGACACTATAAGCTGTAAACACACACTTGACACATTATCACCTGATAGAGCTTCAGCTAAATGCCTATTTACACATCCAGCAGAAGCAGAAAAAAAAGTTTCTGGCTACCTGACAAACATTTTAGTGCATTTTACTAAAATGCACTAAAATGTTTGTCCGCACGCTCGCATGCACTAAAACGGTTTTAGTGCATGTGAGCGTGCCCCACTAGCTAGCTAGCTCATGGCCGCCGCTCTACACTGCTCTCATATGGAGGTTACAGCTGATAACGCCGTTTTTTGCACTGTTTGTATTGTTAGCACCATTAGCCGCTAGCCACTGGCTCAACTGTCGCCATGTTGAGAACCTTTTGGAGGCTGTACGCTTCGAATTTAGAATCTAGCACCTTTATATATTCCACTATATTCACCCGATAGTTGATAACGTTGTCTGACGGTTATCAGCTTTTTTTGCTGCTGCCATTTGCAGAAAGCAGGGACAAAAATGTGGACCACAACTCTAAAACAATTTGCTGAAACACTCCATAGAGAGGAACCCCAAAGTAATAACTTTTTGTGGATTTGACATTTTTCCCAATTCTTCAACTCGTAGTCTTCTTCAGCCAAAAAGCTACCTATCCAGCACCAAACGGTTAGTTAGCAACTAGCTGGTGAACATGACAGAACGTTTAGCATTATAAAATATGAATTAATGCAGCTTTAAGGCTGGGAGCTAGATAGTACACCTACACATAATGCACTAACGTGTGTATGTGTGGTCCATGTGACAGGAGGACTACCCCCAACATGTCTTGACCCTGTGACCCCTCAGTGGTTTTACTTCTCCATCAGTTTTACAGTAACGGCTGCCATCAAAGACCCACACCTCTCCCTCCCCCCCCCCCCCCCACCTTGTGGGTGGAGCAGGGGATGTCCACAGAAACATATTCATGATGGTAAGTTTATGGTGTGCTGAATGGTGTACACATCCCACCAGTGTTCATGTCACAGACTCTGTGTGTGTAACAATCTCCCACAATAGATCATGCATGTGTGCGTATCGTACATACAACATGTGCTTATGAATGTGTGTGTGTGTATTGCATGTGTGTTTCTGTGCGTGCATTCATGTGTGTGGCTGGTCTGTGTGTATAATGAACTCCCACAGAGATAGCAGGGCTGTGGTGAAGGGAGTTTCCTCCCCGGGCCCACCACAACATCCCGGAGTCATTTTCAAGACTGAAGAGGCTCCAGAGAGAGGAGACGCTTTGTGATCCAGCTCAGATAAAACATCTCACTGTTTCACCTCACAGTTGTTACGTCCTGATAGAACCGGGGACAGTCAGACATTTTTAAAGGCCGCAGTAGCACACAAAGTTAAAGTCTGTGCAGGAGCCGGATCCGCCAGACTGCTGCAATTCCTATTTTACACAAAACAGCTCACATTTCCAATTTTAGGATCCAGCACCTGAACAAAATGTCCATGTTGTCTGTTCAGCCTGTGGATCGGTGAGAAACTCCATAAGAGGTGACTGTGTGTGACCCTCTCTGTGAGATGCGGGCTCTGAGGAGAGAGGCCAGGGTGAGTTATGTCGGGGATTTTACCAGTCGTCCACAAATAATATCTTTTAACCACTTGTAATTACAAATTGCAGAGCACATGAGGGCAGTATTGCCTCTTCAATCAAATCCCTCTCTAAATCACTTTTTATTACCCACAACACTCACCAGAGTAGTATGAGTGAGTAGTATGAGTGTGTGTTGTGTGTGTGTGTGTGTGTGTGTGTGTGTGTGTGTGTGTGTGTGTGTGTG